AGGGGTGTCCTGACTCTCCCTTTGAGAAAGAACCACCCCTACCCCAGTTTCGGAGGCATCATCTTCCAATACGAAGGGTTTGCTGGTGTCAGGGTGTCTCAGTATGTTTAAGAAGTTCAAAAGCCTCTCTAGCTTCCTTAGACCATACCGTACTACTAGCCCCCTTACGTGTTATATTGGTGATGGGGGCTATTACAGAATAAAACTTTGATAAATCTTCTGTAATAGTTCACAAACCCAATAAATCTTTGGATGGCTTTTAGTCCGCTAGGTACTGGCCGCTGTATAACAGCCTCTAGTTTCTTAGGGTCCATCTGAAAACCAGAGGCAGAAATGTTATACCCCAAAAACTGTAAGTTTGTTTTCCAGTAGTCTGCAATACTTGTTTGACCTGTTTGTGGTGGGTTTGAAGATCAGGGGAATAAATAAGGATATCATCCAAATAAACCAGGACAAAAGAATAGATATAATCCCTGAGTACATCATTAATAAAATCCTGGAATACGGCCGGTGCATTGCATAGCCCAAAAGGCATAACAAGGTACTCATAGTGCCCGCATCTAGTGTTAAATGCTGTTTTCCACTCATGATTTTCCTTGATTCTTACCAAATTGTATGCACTCCTGAGATCCAGAGATCTTAGCACCCTGGAGTCTATCAAACAATTTGGAAATGAAAGGAATAGGGTAGGCATTCTTAACAGTAATCTTATTTAATGCTCTGTAGTCAATGCATGGACGTAATTCTCCATCTTTCTTTTCTACAAAAAAGAAGCCTGCACCAGCAGGTGAGGATGATTTCCGTATATGGCCCTTGTTTAGTGAGTCTTTGATATAGTCTTCCATTATTTTACTCTCCTGTGGCGATAAGGCATATACTGCCCCTTTAGGTGGCATAGCACCGGGTAACAGATTTATGGAGCAGTCATATGACCTGTGAGGAGGTAAGATATTGGACTGACTCTTACTAAATACTTCCTTCACCTCCCAGTATTGTATGGGAACTTCGGGGGTTTGAGGTATAGTAGTGGGTAATTTAATGGTACCCACTCTCTTGGTGAGGTGTAACATACACTTCCCATTACAATCCTTGCCTCATTCCAATATTTCCCCATTAGCCCAGTCAATATGAAGGTTGTGCTTACTAAGCCAATGAAAGCCTAATATGATAGGGCAAGAAGGAGATGCAATAACTTGGAATTTTCTATCTTTCTATCTTTATGTAAGGCACCAATAGACATGTTAATGGGCAAGGTTTCATGGGTAATTAAGGGTTGAGAGAGTGGTCTTACTAGCCTCAACGGCCAGAGGTGATATTCCCTCCTTGATAGGTATAGCATTCTTTTTAACAAAATGAACATCAATAAAATTTCCTGCTGCACCTGAGTCCATCAGGGCCTTGCATGAAAAGTTCTTTTTGTCAAATATGATCATAATATCAAGGATAAATCTATTATTGTTATTCCCAGAGGACGTATCCATTAGACCTGTCCCCTTAAGGTTATTAGGTGCGGTCGTTTTCCGGACTTATGGGACAAGTACTCCTCATATGTCCTTTTTCACCACAGTATATGCATCTCCGTTGTTCTCTTTCTACCTTGGACAGTCTAGTGACCCCCAACTACATAGGTTCGGGTTCGGACTGTGTAGAGAGGTCAGGAACAACCGGGCTGGAGAAATGAGGTGCTAATGGCAAAGCCATACGTCTGGTTTTATTTCTGGTTCTGAGATTATTATCAATTAGCATAATAAACGTAATAAACTCATTGAGTTTTTTGGGTAGTTCTTTGGCAGCAATCTCATCCAACATAGTCTCAGATAATCCCTTCTTAAATGCTGAGCTTAATCCCCTGTTAGTCCAGTCTACCTCGGAAGCCAAGGTGCGAAATTCTATGGCATACTCCGAGATAGAGCGGTTTCCTGGTCTAATATGCATTAGGGCAGTGGAGGCATCATCCTGCCTGCCTAAAGGTTCAAATGTAAGTTTAAATTCCGCAGGGACTTCCTGGTAATTGTGTGCAATGCTCCTACTACTTTCTCATAACGGATTAGCCCAAGCTAAAGCTTTACCTTTAAGTTGGTTCATCAGGTAACCAATTTTAACTCTGTCAGTGGGAAAAGATCCTGGTGAGGCTTCAAAATGATACTCAATTTGGTTAATAAATCTCATTCTTGAATATTACCATCAAAATGCAGGGGAGGAGATAGGGAGATAGGAGGTACATTAGGCGGAGGTGACACAGTTCGAGAAGCCGGAGGTTGCAGGTGCGCTGTTCGAGTAAGGAGCGTACTGAAAGCCTGGTCAAACTGATCCATACGGTGACCATTCTCCACTAGCTTTCTCTCGCAAGCAGCTATGTGCTGACACAATTTTACAGGATCTATGGCCCTGTCATAATGTCAGGATTACTAGTTGATCCAGCACGTAGAATTGTGTCACACAGATGACTAATAGGTAACGTATTACCGGGCCTTAGAATGGCTGGACTTAACGTACCAAAGAATAGTCAGGATACTTGCCGAGGTCAGGGGATACAGAAAGAGACACAACGATAAGAGAAAGCCAAAAGTCAGGGATACAGAATACAGGGAAGTCAAAAACAAAGCCAAAGTCAAAGTCAAAAACCAGAAGAAACTTAAATCAGGAACGTGCTCTCGGACAACCACAAGGGTAACCACGACAGGGCACTGAGCAGGATGAGAACTGGGCCTAAATACCCCTCCTCTAGATCTGATAGGCTGTAACCGGCCTTTGGCCCAAAGGCAGTTACCAGGTTCCCATTTGCAAAATTGCTGCTCGGCATTAACCCTTCTGTGGATTTGGTTGCTGCTCGCCACAACTTTACCTGTGTGGACAGTAAATGCCATTAACCACATTTTTATAAGCGGATGAATATGTGATAAGCTGCTAGAATCAGGAAACCCCTGGATAAAGCCACAAGGAATAAGCTTAGGGCGGAATGCCAGCGCTCTATGGTCCCTGACATGGCACCACGCCGGACCCGAAAGTCACCCAATTTCTGGGAAAATCAGGCTGGAAAGCAAAAAAGGGGCTTGATTACTCCTTACACCACTGCCAGGACAAGGTGCTTGACACATTAGGCCCTAGTGACAAAATCTTCGACATGATCAAAGCAGCCTTAACCGATAGGGCACCAGTTGATCTCCTGGCCACTAGGGATTGGGTCCAACACTCTATTTGACTAATTGGCAAGGCAAATGCCACATTGGCTACTGAGCAGCGTAAATATATCCTCATGAAAATTGAGCCAAAACCTGTCAACATGGCAATATCTGAGCCTGGGCCACAGGCAAAAGGCCTCCTTTTCAGAGACAACTTCATGAAGGAGTTGGGTACCTATGTCAGTACCTTTACGGCATTGGAAAAGGCACAAACAAACATGAAGAGAGTGTTCACTCCCAAGTTTAAATCTACGTTTAAGGAATATTACTTTCACCCTACAGAACACCTCTCATCTATGGTTATTTTGCAGCTTTGAACTAGTAATTGAACTAGGCTCCTAATAGGAGCCTCCATGTCCTTTAATAAAATGTCCAGATTTTACTAATTACATAACGTAAAGTCATGATTTTATTAAGGACATGGAGGCGAGTATAAGCCCACCCAGTACAGGTACGTTTAACGTTTTTTGTCCCAACCCAGGTATGCTATAGATATTGATTTTAAATGTATGGATTGTTGTCTCTGTTGGTTAATATTATAGTCCAATGAGATAGTTACCTACAATATGCTTTATTCAAACATAACTGATTAGATGGTCTAATTGCAGTCACTACTGTGGTAATATGAATGATAGTCTGTGGGAACATATTTACCATTTGTTCTCTCTGTTCCTTCCAGCTTGACACATTATGATGGTTCTCAGCAAGACTGGTATCTTCCACAGTTGTTCAACGGATGAGACTATAGGCTTCGGCATCAACAGAAAAGAGGAGTAGATTGGGGTCACATGGGAGTATATGCTATGTGGACTGCTCTCATAGGCTAGGATGTTGTGATATAATGTGAATATCTTTTCTTTCTTTGCTGCTGAGGAATAAAAGAAAGAGATAAGCCTAATACTCGCCTCCGTGTCCATAATAAAATCATGACTTTACATCATGTAATTAGTAAAATCTGGTAGTTATTTGATCGATTAACAAACACTCTGTGGTTATCCAAAGTAGTATATCTTGCAGATTTATTCACAGGAAAAAACAATAATATTTTTAATGCAAGAGATAAAATATTTTCACTGTCTCGTAAGCTGCAGTTTTGGACCTCAT